GATTGGAATTTTGTTGTATATACCCCATTCTTGGACAACCCCAGCTGCCTGACAACCTGTCACCTGGGCCCCCACATCAGCTCTTCGTCGCTCAACACCGTGTTCATCACAGTAGACCCAGGGTCCTTTGATGGAATCCTGTCCACAACCTCGTCACTTGGAAACAGCTACAGTGCACTGAATGCATCCAAAATTCACTAAATCCTCAAATGCATCCTGGAACTGGGCTGCCGCGCCAAATTTGGTCACAGTCTTTGCACAGCCAAGGATCTTGGCTGAGAAAACGGAAGCCGACGTAGTCGTACTTCACAATGTCCCAGAAGGTTCGAACCTGAAACATCACTTCGACCCAAGGTTTTGTGTTGGCATCAAGATACATCATTTTCGCCACAGCAATGACCCCAGCATCCTTCTCGAATGCACAACCTTTACTCCGCCAGGTGCTCATCCGCTGCAAGACGGGTGAGGAGTCAAGAAAGCTGACCAAGTCTGTACAAAGATCCCCCGGGAGCAGCGCTGTGCAGCTCTGTGTAGCTGATCTGTACAAGCTTCATCAAGCTGCCGTGCATGGCGAAGGCAGGACAGTGTTTCGAGCCAGCGCAAGTCGCTGGGCTCATTCAAAAGATCTAAATGATCTAAACATGCTAAGCTCCAGCCAGTTTCAGTTGAAGTGGCTGGTCCGAATTTGCCAAAGCTAGCAAAATTCTAGTTGCTAGGCTGACACCTCCACAAGCACTCAAGGCCTGCGCGCAGCTCATGGCATTCTGTTTGAAAGATGGATCTTGCGTCACTTTCATCAAGGCATCTGCAGTGCTTTTCCTGTATGCAGCTATGTCTGCCTCAGCATGCTCCAGGGGTCGCATGGGTCGATCCACCTTGAGACCGATCTCCAACAACTCGGCTTTCGCTGCATTCACCGGCTGATCGGCAAAGCCTGGGCAAACTACGAGGGGAACTCCCATGGACAAGGCTTCCATGAAGCTATTCTGCCCTCCATGGGTCAGGAAAATATCCACTCCAAGTCTGAGCAAATCCACTTGTGGAAGGGTAGGGCTGCAGAAGGCATTTGGAGGTACCTTCAGTCCCTCCAGGGCATCTGCTTGGGGACCTAGCGCTGCAAGAATCAAGGGCGACTGCATTGAGCTCGAGTCCCATTGGCCGAAAACATCAAAGGCTGCCTGCCACGCTGCCTGGCAAAGTTCCCGACCGGAAATGCCCACCTGCTGTCCCTCGACAACGAAGCGAGCACCCCAGCCATAGTCAGTATGATCACCTGTGATGATGGTTCCAAGACTCACCAACACCACTGGTCGACCTTCTGCCCTTGCATCACGAGCCAACTTCAAGGCTGTCGCGTCAGAATCACCACCTGAATGATCGGCAGCATCAAACTTGTGACCAGCCGCACGTTTGGCACCCGGCTTGTCCAGCAGAGGGCCAAGGTATACGAAGTCATGGTCGGTGTATGCTTTGGACACCTCTGGTGACATGGGATCCGCTAAGAACTCGGCAGTGGTCACCAGCGTCAAAGTAGACATCAGGCAGGATCTAAAGACTCCCAAAGGCTTCACCCCATCTTCCACTGCGAGGTGAAGGCCATAGGTCTTCTTCAGACGTTCGATGCAATCTTGGAGTCCTACAAAGGGGGACGGGCCAACGCGAAATTATGAAGAACATGCAACAATTGACTACTATGCCCATGGGTCTAGTCCGGACTGCATCCATATCAATTGCGTATCAAATGGTGCTCGCTTGCTAGGTCAACACGGCAATGACATGCAATGACACATCTAGCTGAGCCGTTTCACCCTGGCGTCCTTGAAACTGACGCCTTTCCTGCAAGACTTGCTCCGCAGTCATACCCAATGCCTTCAAGACACCGCCCCAAGCAACTTCCTGTCCACCAGGCCCTGCAACAGTCAACAAGGACACGCAGGGAATCCCTGCCACCTTTGCCACCAGTGGGGCCTCCAAGTTGATCAAAGGATCGCACAGCATCGCCTGAGCATTGATCTTCTTAAGCCATCGAAGAGTGCCAGGAAGCATCAGCTCTGCTGCCAACTCCCTCATTTTCAATCTGGCCTGTGAAAAGCTTTCGCCCTTCATGCCATACTCCTCCTGCAAGGATCCCAGGGCACCCCACATCGAGGGGTCTCTCCCAGCATACAGCTCTGGTTGAGTTTCAATGTCGCTGTGGAACACGGCACCAGTATCTTCAATAGCCTCACGCATCTGTTCCCGACAGAGGTAGTGCACATCATGCCCCTGCTGTACCAGGGACCTAGCAATGGCTAAAGATGGGTTGATGTGACCAGAGGCCAAGGGGAAGATGAATGCGAAACTCCTAGAGCTTTGGGTCTGCATCTCCATGTTCACACTGAGCAAAAGTGCGAGGACTCAAGGAAGAACGATGGCAAGGGCGTTTATTCAGGATCTTCTGAGCCAAAAATTGGGTCGTGCATTGTGCATTCAAATTCGATCATAGTTCAGCCGCATCCAAATCGAAAAGCTGAAGTGCTCTGACGCAAAAAGGAACATGCTAGCAGTCCAGCAGCAAAAAAAAACTGCAGTGCCAAGGAACCAGGAGCAACACAAGACCGGCAAAGGTCAAATTGTACCTTGGCTGCAGACGCTCATGATGTAATAAGTCACAAGTTACATAGGTCCGTGCTTCTAAAGAAACTGCAGACTGTACTGGTCTAAACATGCAGTCCAGGCTCCATTGGAACATCCACGCAACAGGGCCACCTCACACAATCTGAAGGTCTCAGACGGGAAAATGTCCCGCGGCCCAGCAAACATCGGCCACCAATGCGACAAGCTGCACATGTGAAGAAGCTTCTGCGAACAATGACATCTCAAGAACATCCGCCATATCATCATGCCAGTCCTCAAGTGCGACAAACGGAAACTCTCCTAGATCCGCTGTGAAGCAAACTGGCAGCTGCAGTCAAGATGCAAGAAAATCCATCCTCGTCCTGAGATAGGTGAATAGGTCCTATAGGTAATATGTATCATCTGGTACTTGGTGTTCATCCCAATGGGTCACCCCAGTTCCAACTGGGCTAACCCTACCATATTTATCACAGTGGTTTTAGCATGCTAAATGGGGTGAACCAAGTATAAGGGCATCTCTGCGCGAAGAAATCCTGGCAATCTGTTGTTTGAGGCACCCGCCATGACTCCGACCACTGCAGCCGCAACTGGTCCCCTCTTTGGGCCAAGCTTGCGGAAAATTCGTGCGAAGGCATCCCTGTGGGGTTAATGTGATGTCCACGTTCCGCTCAATTTTTGACTGGAAACTTCAACGCCAACTTGAGGTTTATTCTGAATTTATTCTTGACAATTTGAGCTGGGGGTTGTTGAGACCTGGTCTCAGGAAATCAGTCCGGTGCAGTTCAGCAGAAATGGAGAAGCATCTTTTCCTGGCAACGCCTGTTCTTGCGATGCGTGCAGGAATTTACATAAGAACCGCCCAAGCGGAGGTGAACTCATAGCAAGGTAGTCTGTTCAATAAATTGCAAAATGAAACCGTATGAAGTCATTTGAAATCCAGGCAATCAAAAGCCGGATGGCAATCCAGAAGCTATTCTTGCGAAACCCGAGCTGACCAGCTCTTCACTTCTGTGTTGGAAGTTAACTAGTCAAAGCTTCTGCGACGACACTTGTTCAGAAGGACGTCCTGGCGAGTCTTGAAGCGCCATGGTTCTGCTTTTCGGCATCTGGGTTTCTTTGAAAATAAGGTACTTCAAAATCCAATGGTGTTTGACAATTCTTACCTCAAAATTCAATGGTGTTTGATAATTCTTACTTCAAAATCCAATGGTGTTTGATAATTGTCCCATTTAAAAGGACGATTTTGACGTATACCTCCATTTTCAGACACACCGACACAGGCCTTCTTGGTCTCAAAGCTCCGGGCGCAACTTGCTGGCAGTGTCCCACCTTGCATCACAGTCACTGGTCCATGAAAGGATTAGAAATGCTATGATGTACTGATATACTACATTCACAGAGAGCGTGCAGAAGGGCACGAATTTGATTTTGGCAAAGGCGGCCACTTGCGGCCACTTGCGGCCACTTGCGGCCACTTGCGGCCACTTGCGGCCACTTGCGGCCACTTGCGGCCACTTGCCCTGGCGGCCACTTGCGGCCACTCGATTGGCTGCAGGTGGCTGCAAGTGGTTGCCGATGAAAAGAGAATGCGGGCGGCCACTGGCGGCCACTGGCGGCCACTCGAGTGGCTGCAAGTGGCTGCAAGTGGCTGCCGATGAAAAAACAAATGCTGGTGGCCACTGGCGGCCACTTGCGGCCACTCGATTGGCTGCAAGTGGCTGCAAGTGGCTGCCGCTGAGAAGAGAATGCTGGCGGACACTGGCGGCCACTCGATTGGCTCCTTCTTTTAATAAGTCCTTCCTCTTAATTTCTACTCCTTCATTTTTGTTTGAACTCGTGCGTTTTCGTTGTGGGTCTTTCCCTGTCGTTCCAAGTCTCTTATTTTTCGTTGCAGCGTTGTCCGCTTCTTTTAGTAAGTCCTTCCTCTTAATTTCTACTCCTTCATTTTTGTTTGAACTCGTGCGTTTTCGTTGTGGGTCTTTCCCTGTCGTTCCAAGTCTCTTTTTTTCGTTGCAGCGTTGTCCGCTTCTTTTAATAAGTCCTTCCTCTTAATTTCTACTCCTTCATTTTTGTTTGAACTCGTGCGTTTTCGTTGTGGGTCTTTCCCTGTCGTTCCAAGTCTCTTATTTTTCGTTGCAGCGTTGTCCGCTTCTTTTAGTAAGTCCTTCCTCTTAATTTCTACTCCTTCATTTTTGTTTGAACTCGTGCGTTTTCGTTGTGGGTATTTCCCTGTCGTTCCAAGTCTCTTATTTTTCGTTGCAGCGTTGTCCGCTTCTTTTAATAAGTCCTTCCTCTTAATTTCTTCTCCTTCATTTTTGTTTGAACTCGTGCGTTTTCGTTGTGGGTCTTTCCCTGTCGTTCCAAGTCTCTTATTTTTCGTTGCAGCGCTGTCCGCTTATCACGACCGTCTTACCCCCCCCCAGGGGGTGAAAAATGTAACATACATTTTTGGAGTGCCATTATGCAGGGTTTCGAGACCCTGGCTATATACCACATATATCCACATATATGTAGGTTGTTTTACCCAAATTCATAAAGTAAACGTAAAAATGTTACATTACATTTTTAGGCTGGGTAAACAAATTTATAAATCAAATGTGTAAAGATAAACCTCAAAAATGTATGTTACATTTTTTGGGTGGTTTGAATAGAAAATCACAAGATCCGACTTCCCAACCTGAAAAATGTATGTTACATTTTTGGGGTGTTTGATGTATTCCCAAATATGTCCAAATATGTCCAAACATTGGCATTGGAATCAAACACAATATCAGTATAATATATCAGAATGATTCAGAATGTAGAATGGGGATGAATGGGGAGGATATTGTAGGTTAATGTAGGTTATGGTAGGGCTATGTAGAGCTATAGGGGGGTTATAGGGCAGGGTGGGGGGAAGGACCCAAAAAAGTAACACATATTTTTTGGGTACCCCACGGAGATATGTTACAATTTCTACCCCCTAGGGTCCCCCCCCCAAACAGTATTTCCGTGGCTGTTCATGGGGGGGGGCTTGGAAAATGTAACATAGCAGGTGTACCCCCGTGCAATGCCCATGTTACATTTTTGACCTCCCCCCCCCAAACTCCTATATTTCTAGGAGGGGTATAAAAATGTAATAATGTATGTTACATTTGTTACCCCCTGGGGGGGGTCAGGGGCGCCAAGAGGTAGTGATGTCCGCTTCTTTTAATAAGTCCTTCCTCTTAATTTCTACTCCTTCATTTTTGTTTGAACTCGTGCGTTTTCGTTGTGGGTCTTTCCCTGTCGTTCCAAGTCTCTTATTTCTCGTTGCAGCGTTGTCCGCTTCTTTTAATAAGTCCTTCCTCTTAATTTCTACTCCTTCATTTTTGTTTGAACTCGTGCGTTTTCGTTGTGGGTCTTTCCCTGTAGTTCCAAGTCTCTTATTTTTGGTTCCAGCGTTAACCGCTTCTTTTAATAAGTCCTTCCTCTTAATTTCTACTCCTTCATTTTTGTTTGAACTCGTGCATTTTCGTTGTGGGTCTTTCCCTGTCGTTCCGAGTGTGGGTTAGCCGCGGAAAATGTGGAAAAGTTTCCGTGGGAGGCTGCGGAAAATGTGGAAAAGTTTCCGTGGGAGGATGTCAGGCGGCCACTTGCGGCCACTTGCGGCCACTCGAGTGGCTGCTGGCTGCAAATGGCTGCCGGAGACAAGAGATTGCTGGCGGCCACTTGCGGCCACTTGCGGCCACTTGCGGCCACTCGAGTGGCTGCAAGTGGCTGCCATTTCCAAAATCAAATTACGCACCTCCTGCGTGCTCAATGTACACTCATATTGAATCTATATTTTATGTATTACAAATATATACATATATTATATTATATATATACATATTACACACTTCATTTATATCATGTATATATCCATTATAGCATCCAATGGATTATGGTCTAGGGATAGTGGCGGCAACTTCCCCAGTCAAAGGCTGCAACCATTGCCATCAAGTTGCATGTGCCATGCCTTGTCCTTGCCATAATGCTTCATCTAGGAGCGGACCAGCGCACCGCAGGGTTCACTTTGGTTGGGTGCTTTGGCACTGAAAACTTGGTTGAAGTAAGGTGAGATATGTGAGATATCTTGGCTTGGGGCAAACTCGTCAAAGGTGTAGAAACTGCCGTCGTTGGCCTTTCTGCTCTCCTGCTCAGCATGCTTGGCAGATCCCCTGCAGGCTTGGCGGCCTTGGGCCTCACAAAATATCCACAGAGTTGCGTCATTCATCAAGCCACTATGGTTATAGTTCTGTATATAGTATGGTATTTAGTATGATATAGTGGTATTAGCTACTATAGGCAGCTATGGATATTCAGGCCATCAGACCGACAAACATCATAGATACATCCCAAGTTATGGCAGTTATGGCAGTTGTGGCAGTTGTGGCCAGAGGACTTGATGGCTCTTAATGGGAAATGATCCAACCCCTGGCAGGATCTCCTCTTTGGAGCTGGACCACTCCTTCACCCAGCCCTCCTGTGGCGCTTGGTGGGGCCACTGGGTCACTAATCCATGGACCATGACCACCCCCAAGATTCATATGAGTTTCTTTAGGGCTGTGTAGTTTTTATGAAGCTGGAAAAACGAAAATACGAAATTTCTTGTTATACCGACCACCCAGGATATCATGGATCTTTTTGTTTTCACGAAATGACGCAAATTTCAAGCCTCACCAAGGTAGTCGATGTAATAGTCTCTGAACTCTGCCGCTGTATATGCCTGAAGCATTAAAGCAGCCGTAGGCTGAAATAAAGTCCAGACAAAGCTTCAATCTCCAGCCTTGCCATTTCTGGCGATTCGCGTTTCTGTGTATTTGGCCGCCTTGGATTCTGGCTGGGTTGTACAGCACGGAAAAGAAGAAGATCTGATAGCTGTGTGCCCAGCATTTGTCCATTTGTCCCTCCCCTCCTGCGCGTATTCTCAGGAAGGGTTTCAGCTCTCTACTCAAGTCATAAAAATATCAGGGTTTTCTGTGATTTCACCATGGTGACAGACTCCTTGTCATAGAACTTCTTGAATTGCAGGGCATTGTATAGCTTCCCATCCTTAGCAAAGAGGAAAAGGACACCATCAAAAAAAACAAAACACACGAACCTCCAGCAAATCAGGGCATTCCAGCTCTTTTCCCAATAAAATGCATGATTGTAGTCATAATTATCCCTGTTAAGATTGGAATTTTGTGGTGTATATATACCCCATTCTTGGACAACCCCAGCTGCCTGACAACCTGTCACTTGGGCCCCCACTTCAGCTCTTCGTCGCTCAACACCTTGTTCATCACAGTAGACCCAGGGTCCCTTGATGGAATAGTGTCCACAACCTCGGCACTTGGAAACGGCTACAGTTCACTGAATGCATTCGAAATTCACTAAATCCTCAATGCATCATAAAAACTGGGCTGCCGCGCCAAATTTGGTGCGACACCAAGGCTTCTCTTCGCTGGACATGAAGTGGAAGTGGTAGCCGCAGCTGCCATGAGTCGTCTTACTTCCAGCGCATCTGCAGCCCAGAACCTCCTGGCCAAACTCGCCCACCAACTTCTCCTGAACACAGCGTGGCAAGACATGTGAGTGGCCCAGTAAAGATGCATCTTCTAGATGAGTCTTTGACATGGAAAGATCTGGCGAATCAAATCTTGTGTCTTCGTGCGAAACGATTTAGCGCCACTTCTTACAGGTAAGTTGTGTGCAAAAGACTTTGAAGGGCTCTTCCAAGTTGATTCCTCACTAAAATCGACTACCAGATGGACACTGCAATTTCCAGGTGGGGCTGTCTAAAACCCCGATATCAATCAAATGGTGTTTCCACGCGTTATCGTTTGTTTTTCCTCTTATCGTTTTTCCAAGTGCTGGCTTCACACCCTCATGAAACAATTCATATTGTGTTCTCTTTGTGGGATATCACCTTACAACCACCAGCTTCACATCTGTTTTTCGGGGAAAAGCTTGCATCTGCAAAGCTTGCTGCTTCGAACATGTCCCATAAACAATATATAATGTATATGTATGAGCATCGTTATCGTTTTTTTCCTCTTATCGTTTTCTCGAGTGAGAACTACATATAGCTAATGGGGGATCATGGCATACTAAACGAATAGGTGCCGGGTTATTATACTCTCCCAGGTGGCTCTTTGCCCCAGCCTGGGCATTGGCTGCCACGAGTAGCCATGATGAAAGAGCTATGAACAAAGACCTGCTGGCAGCCGTGCAGGTGCTGAATACTGCTGAAGACCATGTGGCTTAATCAAGGATCAAACAGCCAAGTAGAACTCAGAATCCATCAGAATCCTGGCTCACCATGGCTCACCCAGTTCTTTGACGTGGCTATGTGAATTGACGTTTCAGCCTCATGGTGGCACAGCAAACTCCACGATCTAAGGAATCTAAGGCTCAGCTTGGCAGCCGAAAGGTCACCAAGCGCCAAGCGCTGCTTCAGAAACTGGTCACTGTCAGTCACTGGCCATCTGAAGGGATGGGGGTCATGAATAGTCATGGTTCCCTGATGGTCACTGCAGCATTTTCCGCCGCAGCGTTGTCTACAGTTCACCATCAGCATCACAGTGATTCACATCATGTGGACTTCGCTCCAGCGAAGGAATGTGCAAAGATATAGAAAGGGCAAAAGAGATTTACACCGCACAAATTGCCCGGCTGAGAAATTCTCAGAGCCAGGTTAAAGTCACATGTCCAAGACATATGATGCAGTTGTCCTTTTAGGACAGAAACAGCAGGCGCACATCCCACTGGCACAAAGCCTCAGCGGGAAAGTGTGTGGCACCCATCGAAATGGCTATTTGGATCTATTTGGGGATTTACCGCATTTTCAGACACACCCAAATCGTAGTAGATACGGATACCAGTTGGGCCAGTTAGGTGGGTATACAACTGATCCTGAAATTTCTGGGCCGTGAGGCAGCATCATCGTGGCAGTCAGCATGAGGTCATAGATCGGGAAGGCCTTGTGGCACCTGTCGAGAAACGTCTGCAGCTTTCCATCACTGTCGACGGCGATCAAATCAGATTCTGTCCAGAGAAACAACATATTGGAGACAGATCAAACAACCAAGAAAATGCACTTTGGGGGGTGAACATCCAGTTCACTTGCTATTTTGGGGTTCGCCAAGGGGCCTATGAAGTGGATCCAGCACTGCCCCAAAGCATTCGAAGTCTACCGCCGCTCCCACAGCCTGCAACGAGGGGTCCCGGTCCAAAGGTCACTGTCAGTTGGTAGTTGGCAGTTGGGAATGGTGGGAAGCCTGTTGAAGATCACCATTGACATTTCTGCTACAAAGAAAAGCGCGGAAAGATCCTGCCCATGACAAGAAGTGCCGAATACGCGGATCCAGATGGAGACAAGCTGAAATGATCACTCCACATCTCACCTTGACAGCAAAGCTAGAGTAGATGGTCCTTCAACCATCAACCCGTTTGTATTAAAAGCTCCGCCCCAGGTCCCTCGTCCCAAGCCTCTCTAAACTTGGCTGTTGAGTCGATTTGATATGCATCTAGGGTTCGACTCACATCATACCTTAAATGCAGCAAGTGAACTCGCTCCATGGGCCGGCCTATCCTGGTGAAGCTGAAATAGTTCGATCCATTTCGAAACAATTTTGTTCAGAATTGAACAGAACGTAGTGAAATTTGTCCACCAGCTGGGACCCCTTGCCCTTCAAGACCAGTCGTCCACAGGTCCTTCGCAGCAAAACGAGACGCAATTTGTCCGATGCCGATGGGTCCAGTCTGGGATCCACGGACACCCCAGTCTGGTGAGCTGAACGGCACGGCTGTCCTGTGCTGGTTGTCCAGTGAGTCTTCGCCAGACCAGCAATTCGCCAGCAGCTGCAGTGTCCACCACATGCCTCGGCAAAGCCGCACGGGCCGCAAAACCGGCATCCAAAAATTACTGTTGACATGAAGATCTGATCCAATATATCCTAGGCACAGAATTTATCCTCACCTTTGATGCATCTGCATAATCATTTCAAGTTGGTTCAGTCAAACACAATCAGTAATGTCTGTCTGAGGTATTCTGGTCTCCCTTTCCAAATTAAATACATATTATACACCATATACACACATAGATATAACATATCCAGAATCACTCAGAAGCCACACTGACTTTCTGCTAGACTTCGGCCCCTCACATCCAACAAACTGATCCCACACGGCCCTTCATCTGCAAGGGACTGCAGGCTATCCAGTTTCATCTGCTGCTTGCGATGACTGTCCACCTCCAAGATTCCCTGACTCAAGTCAGCACGGGCCTCACATCCAGATTGAAGCTGATGTTACTGTCATTTTCATGTAGACTCTTTCTGCATTCTCAATGTTCCATAAACTGCTATGATTGATATCATTTTCCTTTAACTTGACATGACTGACATCACAAGCCAGTTCAGAAAGAAGCAATAAGATCTTCACAGAAAACGTCAGGGCATCAACCCAGGGCACATCCTGGAAGTCGCACCTCTCGAGCTGCCCGTACAGCCCCAACCAGTGGAAGCAGCATCCAAAACGCCTGCGGCGTTAAGAGAGTGGCATGTTATGCGACTGTAACCAGTCGGAAAGGAGATATTAATGGGATATGAATGGGGATAAGTGGATTCTACAATGACAGGTGACTCGGTGACTTTTTGCCATGCCGCGCTCGTTTCAATGCCATCAATGCCGCATTTCTTCAAATGTCCAATCTCTAATGGTCATTAATGGCATTGAAATCCCAGTGGTCATTAATGGTCCTTAATGGCATACAAATATGTCTCAAATGGTCGTTAATGGAAATTCATGGTCCACATATTTGTGTCATATTTTCTTGATATCCCAGTGGCTTTACCCCAAAAAAATCTGCGAAGAACGACCATGGCCTGAGCGCGGATGGCCATCTCTTTGCTCCGCTGGTGTGTGTGTGGCTTCACACAGGGAGCCGCTGCCAGTTGTGTAGGAAAAAGACTCGACTATGACTCACTGGTCCGGGAGATTGTCCACTTTTTGTCTCTAAGATAGAACCAAAAGATGGTAGCTTTGCGGTAAGACAAATGTCCCCAACGGTTTCTTTGCCAACCCCAGCAGCGAGGTTGATGTTTTGCAAACTACTTCACTGTGAGCCAACAGGAAGGAAGAGCATGAATGTCACAGCACATCTATTATTCACCATTTCGATCCATTTCCCAAGTGAAGAAACCAGGTCTTAGACTCCTAGACCTTGATTCCACAACGCAACCGTTTTGATCGCATCAGAGCGTGCACAGCTGATTCGGTGGCCACTTGCACAGCTGACTTGCTGGGCACATCTCCTTGATGTCGGCATCGATTCCTGTAAGTTGTGGTCCAGGAACATCCTTTGGGTCAGCGGGTCGAAACTCCCGCTGTTCCATATTTCCGACCGCGGTGGTGTCAGCACTGGCAACGGGTGCATCATGATGCTCAGCAATACTTGGGCGTGGTAGATCCGACTAGCCATCTCCCTTGCTGGTGGCCACACCTTATGCTTCGACAATGTGCTTCAACTTGGATTGGCTTGCATATTGCATATCCGAAAAGCAGGATGAAATAATATCCTGCCCATGTATGGCCAACAGAATCACCCGCCATGGACAAAAACCAAGGTATGTACACAGCAAATGCCTTGTTTAGTTTAAGCAACTTATCTTGGATTTCCAAACTTCCAAGAACACACAGTTTCTGACTTTCCAAATCTAATAAAAGGGGGTTTCCTAAAATGGGTGCCCTATGGTGACTTGGGGATCCCCAGCTTCAAGAAACCTCCATATGGCTTTTGTATCGAAACCACAGTTTCTGAGGTCTCCAGACTTCCAAGACGGCCAAGGCGCTCAGCACGCTGCTGCGCTGCTTGCGACGCGCCTGCAGACGTGCACGTGCCTCTGAAGCCGTCTGCTTGAAAGTGGCCTCAAACAGCCAATGGTTTCCACATCTCAAAGATCTCAAACGACTTCTGGGTGACAAGTGATGATAGTTGGAAATCTTGATTAATTATACAAGTTATTATATCCCCCATTATGGAAGATAAATCCATGATCATTGGAGTTCATTGGATGTGTTTTAAGTGAACCAAACCAACCACTTTCCATGGAAAAAAATCGGTGGCCTTGGTCCAAGACATTCGACTCAACGTGTCTTGAGCCGAGCGGCTGCTGACTCTTGCGACTCTGCAACAGACTGCCGCGCTCGTGCTGGGCTCTGCAAAGTCTCATCGGGGTCGCCGTCTTTCACCGTGCTCGACGGTGACGAGACCTTCTGGTCCACGTAGAGAACCGCAGAGTCGAAGGCCTGTCACCAGTGAAGGAACCAAAAGGCCAAAATTCAAGAAACAAGTGCCATCTGAACCAACCAGCAGCAGTTTGATGACTTTCTTCAACTCAATTCAGATCGAATTTGGTCCTTTGTATTGAAATATCTAAAGAAAGCACCATACTGTGTGAATACAAGGTTTCCATGTCTTTGGATGGCCTGGTCCGTCGCTTTCCCTACGGTCTTCAGAACAGATTCCAGCATTCCCGCGCTTTCGCTTCCACCAAGCTCCTTAAGCCTCGGGGACGCAGGGCAGTCCAACGAAAATGGGATGACTCTCTGGTAATCAAACCGGGCAAGGAAGAGTTCCCTTGTGTATATAGCTATGAAATGTACAAATAAGTACATTTTTTTATATATGTAGATATACTACGTTCACAGTAAGTTCATAGATGTAGTGTTCAGTGTTACTGGGATCAATGATTTCCCATTGCTAGGTTACGGTCTCAGGGAGTAAGTTTATCCTTTGGGGGTCAAACTTGGAGATCAGCGACCATTGCAGCTGGAGATCCGTTCGTGGATTTGATATGCCATGAGTTGAAGTTCCCTCCTGACCTCGCCCTCGGCAGTGGCTCTGGGCAAATCCTCTTCTCCTGCCTTGTCCAGTAGGAAAATGATCCTCAGAATCGCCAGGTGGTTCTTTGGGAGGTCAAAATACAGTCCATTGATGTCCATATGATATCCCAACCTATCCTGTGCTTGCACAAACAGGCTTGTTTTCTTGCAAACATCGACGATCGTCGAGTGCCCCTGTGATAAATGAAAACACTGTTGCCTGGATTGCCTGCTGGAACATCTCGACGTCTATTGTTTCGTAGGACCGCAGTGCTGTCAATCACTCTGAGATCAGTGTCTGATCCACAACCTTGCAGGACACTTACACCAAAACACTACGAGCACGTGCCGCTAAGTGGCAGCTCATACCACAAGGAGCTTGCCTTAGCCATTCATTCTCACAAAACGACAGAAAGCTTGACGTTGCACCTGTTACACACTCATCCCAAAATCATCCAAACTCATGAAAAATCATGTCCCACTCGGAGGCCCAATAGTCAAGTTGCCTGGGCCCTGGATGTGAGGCTTCGCACCAAGACTTCCGTGGGATCCCTGGCCTGGCTGTTTTCGATTGCACCACGGTTTATCTAGTGCTATCTGCTCATCATCATGATCCATCATGATTCATGATGAGGTGGTGATGTTGATGTCAACTCTTGATCCACCTTGATTCCGCAAATTTGAAGTAGGAAGTAGGAAGCTACAGAAAATGTGACCCAAAAATCATCCAAAGATCCTCGAACTGGGGCAACTCTCGCAGAAAACCACAGCAGAACTGCCATCCATGCATATCCATGCCATCCCCAGATGCAGAGCGCACGTTAGATTCTGCCCCAAGCAGGCCTTGTGCCCAGCTTCTGGCATCTCCACCCCTTCATCCAAGCACTTGGCTTGGCGGAAGCCCGGGCCCCTCATGTTGCGTTTTTTGCGCGCTTTTCGGTTGGCCCTGCAGGCGGCGAAGTTTCAACAAGCGGGCCACATAGAGTAAAGTAAAGGGAAAACATCGAAGAGAATGGAAGTTCAATGGACCATAGATTATGAATCATGAATGTATTACAGTAATGTACGTATTTATAAAATGTATTTGGTGTCTATTTGAAAACATACTCTGAACAAAAAGGTATTGTTCACTTGATTGCAAAGAAACCCAGCTTTGAAGGTTTCTGATGTGTCAATCAAAAGAATCACTTTGATTTTTTTTCCGAGGCTCGTTGACCCTTGCTGACTTTCCCCGACAGATGACGCATCATCGCCAGTAGTATGACTCAGGGTCTCTAGCTCGTTCTGTTCCACCTGATTGGCCGGGAGTTAGAACAAGAAACTGCTTGCTGAGCCAGAACCTTACCCCCCGAGACAACTCGACCCAAACAGCTCTGGCTGCATATCACTGAACCTATCCTTCAATTCAACTAGCAGATTAGCAAGACAAGTTCCACACAACTCCACCGCACCTGTGCCTGAAGTTCTTGCCTCAGTGGATCTAGCTGTGATTTGGAAACGTGGGGTCCTCCTACGGCCATGCCGCCATGGAAGTGTGTCGACTCTCTCTCTCTCTCTCTCTTTCTCTCTCTGGCACTCAATCTGAAGCCAAATGGCACTTGCTGCCTTGACTCCTGAAGCTGCTGATTCGACTGCATCAGATCGTCATGAAGTTTGGATCGCTCCCTCAGCAACTTTTCCATCTCCTCAGCTACTACTCTCGTAATCTCAGATTTGATGGCTTCAAATCAAATGCAGTGCAAAGGCGCGGCCATTTTAACACCACAGGCAATGGTAAAAGGAAATCACTTGGCTAAGGGCCCTTCGTGCCAAAAGGGCAGGATGTGATGCACATGCCAACAGTTGCAAGCAAGATGTGTGAAATCCACGGCTCAACACTTTCACGGGTATGTTTTTCTTTGGCTTGTGCATCTTTCGTCATAATGCACACTGGGCGTTGCAACCACTCAGCAAATCGGTCTCGCAACTTGGCATCTATCTTCGTCAAACCATCACTGAACTGCACATCAGTAGGAACCCAACGGATGGCATCAACAGGAAGTTGTTCTTGGATGGATCTGATAGACACCAAAGTTCTACGGTCGTTCAAGCTGGGGTTCTCTGAGATCACTGCATCATAAAGTGATTTGGCATCAACAGCGTGAACAACATCGAGCCTAGATCCAACCCTGTGAGCAGGAATGTTCCACATCAGTTCACTCAGAAAAAGATTCAAAAACATTCCGCGGTCTGCGGCTTCGTCCGCAGCTGTGGCTTCAGAGGCCAACGTGGACCTACAGACTCGGGGCGATCTGCTACTCTTCCAGTCTACTGTCGCGAAGCTGCTAACTGACTCAAAAACTTGTGGAGTGGTAACGCCAGTTAAAGTTCCAATTTGGCTGCCGCTTTTGCGTGCATTGTTCCATGAGGAATCACTGTACACTGCAACTACGGAATCTCGGTTCAGTGGGACGCATGGAATCAAAAGTCCTTGATCAGGTGTCTGCTTAATGAACTCCATGGTCACATAGAGAGCCTTAAGGTCAGAAACGCATGCTTCTGCTCCATGTGGTGTCAAACTCACAGACGCAGCAACCTCTGGACGGCACTGTGTTGCAAGCCATTGGAGGCAGCCACACACACTTCTGAGCTCTTTCTGTTCCTCTGGGGTCAGTTTGGCATCAGGTGGGCGACCTCGCTGTACCTTTCCAGAGTCCAAACCATCAATGAACTTCTTCATGGTGATTTTCATGCCAACCTTTTTGGACTGATTGTCACGACATAGAGTCAGCTCTTTCCCCTTGAAGGTCACTGGCTTATCAAGTTCCATCTTCTCCAGCGATCCCCACTCAAAAAGGGCAAAAACTTCCTTGATGTCATAGTCTTCTCGGTGCAAAATGACAAAATCATCGACGTATGTCAAAATCGCAGCTACAATCTGTCCTTGTTCATTCCTTTTCACAAACAGTTGACGGTCGAAACCATGTTGTTGAAATGAAATGGAATGCAGTCGCTTTATCACTTCCTTCTGCCACGTCACTGGCGCGTTCGCAAGTCCATAGATGTTGCCATGAATTTGATACAACTTGGCAGTCCAGGTTTTTGTCTGGGCGATAAGTCCATCTCTTGGTGGCTTCAAAAACAGTGGTCCTGCTCGTTCTTTGGGGTCTTGCATTCCCTGAAGAAAGGCAGTCTTCGCATCCCCAATGTAGCCAACCCAAGAAAATGAGGTATCGAACAAACATCCATTGTATCCAGCTACAATCATCAAAAACATCACATGTTCTGCAGTACGACCTGGAGTGGCAGCATTGCGTGACAATTGAAATAAATCTGGATCTAAATGGCCAAGCGCAACAATTCGACATTTGGGTCGAATCTCTCCGATTCCGCAGCTCTTGTCGCGGTAGCATGCTCGGCTGGGCAAAATCCTCCGAGACAGCTTAGGGTCTCGAAACACTCGTTCAGCTTCGGCGTCTGACAGTGGCTGCACTGATTGCCATTGCTGCCAGGCAAGTGCTTCTTTGGAAATCGCCTCCAAAAACTTGTCCACGTACTTGGCAGGCATGCTGAGAATGCTTCTCCAAGGCAGCTCTCTGTCTAAAGCTTTGACCTCCTGCCGTGTCATGCCCTGTTTGTACGCAGGAACAGGCTGAGACTGATGAGTCTTAGCATTGGTGCCTTGCTGTCGGACTGGTTGAAGGCGTGCACTCTTTGTGGTTGCTGCTGCATTGCTTTCATCATCTGATTCATCGGTGTCTGAGTCATTGGTGGTATCTGACTCATCGGCTGGTTTCTGGATGTCAGCGACGTCCTCTTTTCGTTCTACCGTTGACAAATAAGCTTGATGAAAACGATTCAGCCGAGGACCATATCCGATGGGTGGTGAGCCATCCCAATGAGCATGTGGTCTGTGAAATTGATGTTCTCCTGTTGGAATCAATGAAATCATGGCTTCAAAGTTCCTTTTCTGTGGCAGTTGGGGCAGCGAGCTGCTGCTGGCTGCTTGTGGTCCTCCAGTTGTCATAGCCGTATCTGACGGTTGTGAAGGCGCAGTCAGATCAATCACTGCTGGTTGTGGCACTGGTGGCTCTTCTGACGAAACTGGGGAAGTTGGTTCATACCCATCTGGCTGTTCATCTCCTGGAGGATCTTTGAGGTCTGGAAAGTCATCCAGTGGAAAAGGTGTTTCTGGTGGCTCATTGGCATCTGGCTCGTCTTCAGCATCCAAAATGGTATTTGCTGATGGTGGCGGTGGCATTAAAGGTGGTGAAACTGCCGGTGGTGTTTGTGGTAGTGGTTCTACCTCTGATCGTTGTGCATCTAATTGTGGTGGAGGGACCGATTTGTCAACCTCTAGCTGTGCTGCTGGCTGTGCAGCTGGTGAAATCCTCAGATCCGTTGGTCGTCTTCTTGACGTTGGTGTTCTGGATCTGGCACGGCGACTCATTGTTGAGAGCATATCGCCAAATCGTTGGTATTGCAACGTTTGGTTTGTCACTTGAGTCGGTTGGTCAACATGCACTTGTATGTTGGTGGTTCGCGCAGCATCTGGAGTATTTGGTCTTGGTGATTGTGTCCTTGGTCTAGGTGCTGGTAGAGCTGGGGTGCTTGGTTGAGCCACGGGTGTAGCTGGAACCATCATGGAAGGTGTTGGTGGAGCCGCATCTGGAAAGACCTGGACCTCGTCATCTTCAAGAGTTTGTTCTGGAGGAGCTGGTCCACGGTCATCGAATAGATGATCTGAGAAGCTTTTAGCTGCATCTTTCAAGGCGGCAACATCTTCCTGGCTCGGTGTCCAATCTTCATAACCAAAGGCTGCACGAAGTTGCTCGGCAGTGACAAGGACTGTTGTATTGCCACTGCGAATCCAAGCTTGCTTGCCTGGATGTGAAGGGTCCCAACTCAAGAACCTTCCAATCACCCATGTGCCTCGCTTTCGAGGGCCACCTTTGCGACTCCATCTCCAGAATGCACATCTTTGACCGGCTTGAAGATCAGCGATCTTTGTGATTCTGGTCTTTCGGAGAAGTGCTCTTCTCAGATGCTGGCTCACGTCCAAATTGTGCACTGTCTTGATTGCCTCATTGCGCACAAGCTCGGCTTTGAAGCCCAGATTGGTTTCATCTGCTGACTTGATGGCTGTTGAAGAGGTGGCCAAAACCATGGAGTCGCTGAAGTTGCTGTCCAACATCCTGGGTTGTCTGCCAAAAACCATCTGGTATGCTGAGCGGCCATGTGTATGGATAGCCGCATTCATGGCATGACATGCTGACGTCACCAAGACGTGGCATTGTTCAACTGTGTTTGCAGCAAACTGATCGATCAGCTTCTCCAAGGTTAAACGGAGAATTGAGTTCCTCCTCTCAACCATTCCAATCACATGATGCGCTTCCGCAGGGCAGTGCTCAAGCAAAATGCCTATCGCTTGGATCTTGTGCTGAAACATCCCCTTGAAGGAAGGGTCAGGATCACAAACGATTCGCAAAGGCAGACCATATGGTTGGAACCACATGCGGTGCATCAGTTGAAAAACTTCTTCACCACTTCTGTCACCCAAAATGCCAGCTTGATGAAAACCTGTTGCGCGGTCTACTGCACCCAAGATCATAAAGGTTGTTCCGTCCACTGTTTTGCAGTAACAGATGTCAGATTGCAACTCATCGTTGAACTGACCAACCGTGATGTTGGGTGTTGTCGAAGGCCTAGCCTCCTGTGGAGGTCGAAGGCGTTCACATGTTGCACAGCGAAGGGCTCGAACTGCTTGATATAGAGCATCTGGAATGGTACCTTCGTATGCCAAAAGCCTGCAAAGCTCTTGTGAAGATGGGTGACCCATGTTCAGATGCAAACGTGCAGCTGTCCGCTTCACTTCTGCTGGCACTGTTGAAGGTAGTCCTGGAAAGTCAATATCGGTGGACAATCCTGGGACTACTGATGGACCTGGTTGTTCTTGTTGTTGAGGTTGAGGCTCAGCTTCTGGGATCTTCCTTCTGTCGCCATAGATGAAAATGCCATAGCGGACAGGTTTGCTAAATCGTTGTTTCGGAAAACGAAGCTCTCCAAGGTCTTCTACCTCAACTGCACGCTGTCCATCATTGAAGAACAACACATTGGCTCTGGTGTACCACTCATCAATGTTCTGTGGGACGCGCCTCGTAGTTGGATTGGCCACTGCTTGTATCTTGATGGCATCGATCCTGACGAGGTCTTGGATTGCTTTGCCAAAACTGCTTGAAATATCGATCAGGAAAGGCTTCTTTGAGGAACGTTGGAAAGCCTTGTCAACATGATCGTATATCGGGTCCCAAGCAGCAAGGTCTTCACTTGGTTGTTGAACTGGGAGTGCATGGTGAATGCCGGGCTGTCGATGGCAAAAACGCTGTGGCTGCAGAAGGCGAACATGGTCAAGTAGAGCTTTGAGGATGGTCCTGCAGAGCTCCTCAGGATACGCCTGAGACTTGCGAGTCATGTCACCTTGGATGGGTGTGCACTGAGACCGCTGTTGTTGTGTTAGGCGGCGAGACAAAACTTCGTCAAGCCCTGGCATGTTGCCCACAAAGGTCATCGGTTTGCATACATCCTTTCCATTGATCTGCATACCAAAGGCACCTGTGTCACAGGTCACTTTCCACACACCAGACATTTCCAGCAGTTCACGAATTTCCTGGGTTTCCCAAAGCTCTGATCTTTGAGGATTCTCTATCAGAAAAAACCTTCCTGTGGAGTGCTGTCTCTTTGCAATCTTGTAAGCCAACATTCTAAGTGGGGCACCTTTTGATTGCAGCCATTCCCACTCTTCCGGACGATATGAGTAGTTCATGTTCTTGTTGAACATGTTGTAGTGTTTGCAATCAATGGCCATCATGACGAGGAGGGGCCGAAAACGATCCACAGTCTGCAGCATGTGTTTCTGAGTGTGCTCCAGCATGAAGTCTTGTCCATAAATAAGGTCATAGGGCTGGAGACTATTCAGCTGATATTCCGTGGAAAGCTTTGTAGTCAGAGCCTCACCTGCAAACAACTCCCAAAGATCGCAATTTGGAGTGGGGCGATCACATGCTGGTGTGACTCTGGAGCAAACGTTCACCTCAGCCTGCAGTATGTTGGCTGACTTATTCCATTCTCCTCGAAGCCGCTTTGATGTGCCCTTCTTTAGAGGGACTCGTCCACTTCCTCCCATTCGTAGATCTCTTCCTCCATGTCCCCAATCGCTCCCAGTTGGGTCAGTCGATCCCATCGTGCCTGGTTGGAGGCTGCTTCTCGCTGCGCTCGATCTTGCAGATACATGTCTTCCGTCAGCCAGGCTTCTTCGATCCATGTCAGATCGTCTCGATGCTGCATCTCCACAATTGGACTCTCTTGGCTGATGATCTGGACGACCTCCTCCATCTCGCTGGGTGTCAGATGGTCGGTTCTCATGTCTCCTGGATTGAAGGACGTCCACATCTCTCCTGGTCTGAAAGTCGTCCATGATGTGGATGGGCCAATCATCGGATAGCCAGCTGGTGGTCGAGTCGAAGGCTTTGGTAGAGCCTTGGGCCTCATTGACCTCATAGCTGAACTGGCTGGTTGGCTGATCGTTGCCGAAGACGGCGGTGGCAAGGGCTGCAAGTGCGCAGAGCGTTCTTTTCGCCCATGTGGAACCCAACTTTCTTGGCTCCATTTCCACTTGGTGCTGCATGTCAGGCATTCGGCGTATCTGCCGTGGGCGTTCCCGTACCTTCTGGTGGTCGGGTGTTGGCAAGTCCTGGGATTTGCTGTTGGAGGCACTGCGGGAGGAATGGCCTGCAACACATCTCGTGGCAGGGCCTTGAGATTGATCATCATCATCATATGGCGGAGGAAGTTCTTGAACATGTTCCGAATGTTCATCATAAACTTCCGCCATGCTGCAAGCCATCGAGGAGGCGGCTGGCGCATGGCTATCGCTCGAATTGAGGTTCAGGGACACAACAAACTCAGGGTCTGGTGTTTCTTGCTGGTACATGAGCTCATCCCAAGTCTTCTGGTTATATGTGCGCTCAGGGAAGTCCAAAATGTTGATTGCCATGTGTCCTGCTATTCTATGAATCTTTGCTCCAACTCCTAGCTTGGTGAAAGTGACCCAATCGTTGCTGAGGTCCAGAACTGCGCCAAGTCGAGTGAGCAAAGAGTTTGATCCCAAGCATGGAATGTTCTCTTGCAAGACACATGCACCCAAAAGCAACGGTTCACCTGCAATCCCTGATGGCAAAAACGATCTTGTCAAAGACTTTGATGGGGTCCCCTTGCCAAATTGAAAAACATCATCTGCCTGAAATGAATAAGGTGTCAACGCATGCTGCTGCAGCTTCTTCATGTGGGAGTGCAACCACTTCTGACCGCAACATGTACGTTGGCAACCCGAATCCAAAACAAGAAAACCTGCAAACGTATCTTCATGGTGTGAGGTCAGCACGTCATAGGTATCCATGTGGTGAACCATACCAACTGAAAATGCTTGGCCATATTGGTGATCTTCTTGATCATGACTTCCTATTGAAATTGAACCATGCTCATGGTGGATGAGATTCACTGCAAACTTGGGCTTGTTGCTGCTCCCGCTGCTGGATGGCGCTGCTGACTTTTTGCTCGAAGCGTAGGAGGTAGCGCTCGAGGAAGTCTTACCCTGATTTTTAGGGCACTCTGGGTCTTGATACCAGTGTCCTCGCTGGCCGCAGGCAGAGCAATGGGTATTGCGTTTGGCATCTTCTGGTGACCTGCGATCTCTGGTAGAAGACTGCGATCCAGGCTTTGTCTTGGACCATTTGTGTCCCAAGGTCAAGCCGCTCAGCTTCTTTGCAGTGATAGTCAGAACTTGTGCCAGCTCTGACAAGTCCACAGATTCAGCTTCAGTGTCATGGACGCTATCGTCTGGCTCTTGGTCATCTTCTTGGTCTGGTGGTTCATCATCCTCGTCAATGGTGTCGAGGTGATCATTGCTGTCCTCAGGTGCGGCTGGTGTTTCAACCTCAGCCACGTATGCCTTCTTTGGATATCCCTTGCCAGAGTGTGTAGAACTTGAAGAAGTCCTGGTCGAAGAGCTCGACGGCGATGTAGTGTTTTGGCCAGGATTGGTTTTACCACCTTTGGAGTTCCCTTTGGGAATTTCACGGCCATTAGCACCGACAATCGGCGGGGCTCCTCGAAAATCAGGAAACTGTAGGGCCATAGCTTCAGCCAACTGGTCGAAGGCCAAGTTCTGGGAGGTGCTTACCAACAGGAGCCTCTGTTGCTCGTGGCTAAGGCCTGAGCGGTCCAGCAAGCGAGCTCCCAGGGCCTCATGGTCATAGGTGTAGGAAATCTCAATGCCCACGCTCTTCAAAGCACGCTGAGTTCGACGGAAACGGTTGCAGTAGGCACGCATTGTCTCGCCATGGTTACGCCTGATGTTCTCAAACTCATGCAAGAACTTGCGCTTCTGATACACCTGCTTCTGCTCCATCGGCGCTTTGAGAGCTTCCAAGATGCGCTCCACGCCGTCATCTTGATAAATGTCGGTGATGGGGCAGTGCTCCAACTCAGCTTCTGGTTCACCGGCCAGGGCGCCGTAGAGCTGAAGTGCTGCTTCCTTTCGTGTCATGTATGGGGCAACTTGCAAAAGCCAGATTTCCACCTTTCTCACATATTTGTTGTAAGCTCGAAGGTCCTCCTTGTCGTATGACCATGTTGGTGCTTGAGGCGGGGTGCCACCTCTCCAGCGGATTCCTTTCGATGGACCTTTTGCTGGGTCCCATTCATCATCATCTTTCCTATCCGACACGAGCCTCCGAAGTGCAGAAAGCAAACGGTCTTCTGACGGCTTCGAAGTCACGCTATTGGATCGTCCGCTTCCAGCAGCTGAAGGGTGTGCTCGGGCAGCACCTGCAGAATTGCCAGCAAGCGAACGATTACCATGTTCTTCATGAGGAGTTTGAACTGATGGCGCATGAAGTGGTGCATCTGGATCAATGGATGGGTCATGGGTCATAGCTTCAGACTCGGCCCATTCAGCCGCATCAGATGGATGCCAGGGTGGATTCCCTTTGCCTCTCTGTCTTCTGCGCTGTCGCCTTCGTTGTGAAGACGAGGTTCCGGCTTCAGATGGGGCACGGTTGATATCACCGGGAAAATCACCATCGGCAGGTCGGTACATCCAAGAGCGATCGCTAGGCTCAGTCTGGGGAAGTTCCTGCAAGAACTCACAACTGCCACAGCTAAAACACTCATACTGATCTCTCATCCAGTTCCAGGTATAGTCCGATGAAAAACACTTCAGACATCGCCACCTCTGTGGGGCCTCATGAACAAACCTCTGCTGTGTATTGGGCTCACTCTCACAAAAGGGGGTCTGGATCTCATCGGGTGGTGTCAAAGGTAAACAAGGTTCAGAAATGTCGTCGTCGTCCAACTGATTCACCATTGAATGCCAGGTTGGCATAGTTGTCTATGACACCTCCGCGATCACAGCTCCGGTGCCAACTCGTAATCTCAGATTTGATGGCTTCAAATCAAATGCAGTGCAAAGGCGCGGCCATTTTAACACCACAGGCAATGGTAAAAGGAAATCACTTGGCTAAGGGCCCTTCGTGCCAAAAGGGCAGGATGTGATGCACATGCCAACAGTTGCAAGCAAGATGTGTGAAATCCACGGCTCAACACTTTCAACTACAAACATGTCACGTGATGTCATGCCCCCGTGCAACGTCACATCTTGTCACATCTTTGGACGAAACTCTTGCATCGCACCCAATGAACGATTCCAACATATTCCAACTCCTGATCGTGGACCTGACTACATCCACTAGCCGAAACCAGACCAGAAATGCTTTCGAAATCACCCAGCCCAGCCGCACACCCCTTGCATCCCAGGAGCGTTCTGCTGATGACTGCAACGTTCTTGCATCTCGGCCATTGCAGCGAAGGTTTTCTCACCTTGAAAATACTTGAAAGGCATCAGCAGCTGCCCGTTCAAAGATTGCATTTCAACTCCCGGCTTGGGATTTGGATGGATATGCGCTATTGTCAGTTGTCCTTTTGAGCGAATGAACATGGTGAACTCGGGCAGTCTGGCTGAGTAATCGGAAGAACAGAGCTAATGACCTGATTCCAAAGATGCAGCAGGACGCTGAAGCCATCCAATCAGGGCCAGGGCTCATTGGGAGGTTGAGCCAAAGTCACGGGCTTTTAAAAGCTCTTGCACACGAGCATCGGCATCAACGTCAGCCTGAAAGTCTTTGTCAGCCTTAGGTTTGGTTTGTGGAAAAATCGGGTCAAGAATGATCTGCTCGCATGATCTGTTGCGTGATCAGGCAATCCCTTTTGCTTTATAAGTCCACATGGGATATATTCACAAAAGCTCATTCCATACTGAAACCACCAATATGCCGGTACCCAGCAGGTTGATGTTCATTGATGTTCATATTGTAAAGAAAACAAAGTGCAAACAGCAACAAGCGGCCGCATCTTTGGAAGCTGCCGGGTCACCGTTGACGTTGCCTCCGGCGTGGGAGTTGCTGCCAGCGTCGAGGATGAAGGTGGCGCCGCCACCTCAACAAGGAGCTGCTCCACGGGGCAGGGCGATGGATAGCCCAGCCGCTCTAAGTCGCGGCAGTGCGCCTCGATGGAGGATGAAAGTGATCCAGTGATAGATCTTTGGGAGGGATGGAGAATGCCATGTATCCGATTGTGTCACCTTCTATGGGATGATTTCCATCCATCTGTATGTATATATATATACATATATATATATACATACATACATATATATATATATATATATTCATAAGGTCCACTTTCGCGAAACTTTCGCGAATAAAACAAGTTTCGCAAGCTCAAAAAAATACTTTGGCAAGGGTTCCCAACATAACATGAACGGTCTTCGCAATTAAAACTCTTTACAAGGACCTTTAGATCGATCACCATGTATCTAAATGAGTGATGATGGGGGAATGATGGGGAAAGATGGAGCAAATTTCAAATATCGATTTTCGTGTCAGCCAGATAGGCAAGATTGACGGAGATATTCATGAGTGTTGAGTGTTTTATCCTATATAACATAGTACGATTTTGATGAATTCGTGTGGTGATGGGATGGAAAGATGGGGGTAGAAGGTGTGAAGACATGACATGATGTGTTGCATTGACTTGGAAAATCTGAGAGTTTTGGTATGGATGAAGAAGTGATGGGCATGGAAAGAGGATGAAAGCCAGGCCTCCAAATCTCTGCAATCCTCTTCCAGTTGTTCATTCTGGTCCGCAAGTTCTGCCAAGGCCTCTTCCAAATCTCGCAAGGATCCGAAGTTCTGCTCCACTTCCTTACGGATGAGGTGCCAGAGGCTTCAGCAAATATTTGGGTTTGTCTGAAAATAGTGTACCCCAATCAACCCAATGGTTAATGATCATTATCCCTACTAAATGGCTATAATTGGGGGTATGCCCCATTTTCAGACATACCCATATTTGACTATTGTGAAACACCTGACGATGAGAGGAGGTTGCCTGTCATGTCCCATTCTGAATATTCTGAGAGTCCTCTGCCAACTCATCCGCAAGGTTCATTACTTCATCCCATTGGAAATGCAAAGGGCACCCCTGGTGGATGCACTTTGTTCACTGTATCCTGCAAATGTCTTTTTTCCAAGTTGATTTTGAAAAGTGTGGGAGTAGATCTGCTTGAACCCCCCTAAATCCTATAGCTTGAGCCAACAGGCCATAGGTCACCTTTCAATCTCTGCACTGGTGCAGCTTCAGAGGACGCACAAGACCTGGACATCAAGGCCTTGAAGCGTGCAGAACAAGGGCAACTTCCCCCCTTTTGCTGATTCCGACTCAATCTGAGCAAAGATTCTCCCAACTCCTTGGTGAGGGGAGAGCGAATTCCACCTGCCTCGTCTCAATCCGCCGGCACGAAAATCACCGAGAGACACCTACCGTGCAACGTTGGCTTCGCTTTTGCAAAGCGATTCCATGTTCGAGACTGCCATTCTGGCATCTGGATCTAGGAAAATCACGAGGGCATGCGCATTGGAACGCAAATTCCTTGCCCTCACTGACCAATCTGCACCCATGGCTGCCCCAGCATCCTGGCCGTCCGCTTCGGGTTCGTGTCGCTGAAAAACCAACTGCAAGGGAAGTTACTTGAAAAAAGGGTCCAAAGGCCAAAAAGATGTATTATGGATGGTATTGGATGGTATTGATATCATTTGATATCTAATTATCTAATACTCTATCATTATTCAATGATATCTATGGGCCAAAACCTTGATACCCTGCTCACATCAAAACGTTGCTGGTCATCACTGGTCAATGGTCATTGGATGACCTGGAATCCGGTCTCCACATCACAGGTGCCAAGAGAGGAGGCGGCCCTGCAGAAGCAGTGCTGTATCTCTGGGGAACTTGGGTCGTAGTCATTGTTCACTTTCTTGGCAAATACCAAAAGGGATAAAAGGGACCATCAATGAAATAAGGGCAGCCAAATGGCACAGGTGATTGTTTTGCTGCAAATTTATTGTATATAGTATATAACTTTCCACACAATTTTCCAAGTGTTTGGTGTTGGCGCAGCATCTTGCACTCGAACCTAAGGCTCGTTGTGGCAAAGCGTTTGGTGCCGGCAACGCCACCTGCAAAGGACGTCATCCAATTTTGGTTCTTGGTTCCCTCACAACAACAACCAGCGATGAACAGCCAGCTGACCTGCATGGGAACTGGCAGCTGCCTGGGCATCTGAGGCCTTAGACATGGCTCGAAACCGTCGACGCTCATCGTGTGACGAAACAAAAAGTATCAAATGAAATGAACTAAACTAAATCATGTGGTTGGAAAATTCTTAGTAGCTCCTTAAGTCCCTATTATTAAGAGGGATTGTGGATACCCAGAGCTCCTTATCTGTCCCTTAGGCCATGGCTGTACCAGGGGCTGGACACCCAAGGGGCCCAAGGCACCTGGTGCCAACGGGCGACCCGGCGGCTGGCACCTTGGAGCTGAGATCTCCAGGGATACCCTGCTGATGTCTGTGAATATGCTATATATCTGAGTCTATAACTGATTACTACTATATCTCTGATTTTTAAAAAAATGATATGTGATATGATACTTTTCTGTGTTTGTAATGTGTTGGAATTTTTTGTCACTGTCAATATGATTTGTATATATGAAAAAACGTGTCTGGTTCAATAGTTGTGTTGCTGCATTTTTAAAGGACCCCACTGCACAGGCGCATGGAAAATTCTTCGTGGCACCTGCAAACATGCAAATCGAAAAGTCACAAAAAAAAATCCAACCAACTCGGGACGTTCGTGCGAGCTCTTCCAGAGCGAGAAGTAACAGCCATCAATGAGCAGCTTGGCTGGGGCATTTTCTACAAACATAACAGCTGCGAAAACCCTAGCGATTGAAGGCCTGTAGCATGGCATCGCCGATGGAACGGTGCTGAGGTCCCGGAGTGGTACTCCTTCGCAGATGAGAAAGTTGGAAACAACCCAACAAATGTTCCAACAGAAAGAGTGGGTGTTTCGACAACTTTGAGTTGGTTGGTGAATCTAAAAACCCATCAAACACTATGAGTCAAAATGGACTGCAATCCAACTAGGGATGTGGCGATGAAGAATGATTGAAACTTCCCAGCAGCCAATGTTTCTTCTCAAACAAAAGACCATTGTGAATGTATTTCTATGCGTTTGTTCGCAAAATGGGATCCCAAAAAAACATCCCCAAATGATGATTTTTGGACATGAAAACTTGTTAAACCATCCAGTTTGGGGGGCCCTCCCATGTTTGGAAAACTCCAAAAAAAGAGCGTGTCTGAAAATTGTGCTATATCCCCCAAGTGTCCATCTTACTATCGATATGCAATATAGCTCTAGGTAATGATGATTCATCAACCGATATCTTTCATCATAATTCTGAACATATTCACCATTTGTGAGATACACTATTGTATCAATGATGATAATAATGATACTATCATAATATAGATATAGTGGGTGTCATATTATCACCGTTATCTATACATATCTATATCACTGTATATCCACTAGTGAGGTCTGACATTTCTAACATATTCTTATGGATATTCTCATCGAAGGAAGTTTAGAAGTCAAACTTCCGACAATATGGCCAGATGAAAGGCAGAGATGGGAAGAGTCAGAGAAGAGAAGAGAAGAGAAGAGAAGAGAAGAGAAGGGAAGGGAAGGGAAGGGAAGAGAAGAGAAGAGAAGGGAAGGGAAGAGAAGAGAAGCGAACGGAAGAGAAGAGAAGAGAAGAGAAGAGAAGAGAAGAGAAGGAAAGGGAAGAGCAGAGAAGAGCAGAGAAGAGAAGAGAAGATAAGAGAAGATAAGAGAAGATAAGATCACAGAAGCGAAATTCAGAAGAAAGAAGATCCAGGTGCGCGAAAAGGTAGGAAAGTCGCGATTCACTATGTTTTTCCAATGATATGTGGCTCTGGGGGGTCGAAAAGTATGCTCGCTAAAGCGGCGGGTGCGGAGCCATGTGGTCATATGAGAGATTAAAAATTGCACGCCGTTGTGGCGCGAAGCACATTTCCAAGTCAAAATGTACAAAACACACCAACGTCGGACCACTTTTGGAAGTTGACATGTCGAAAAAGTGCACGCCGTTGTGGCGCGAAGCACATTTCCACGTCAAAATGTACAAAACACATCACGTTCAGGGCACTTTTGGAAGTTGAGATGTTCAAAAAGTGTACGCGGTTGTGGCGCGAAGCACATGTCCAAGTCAAAATGTACAAAACACACCACTTTCAGAACACTTTTGGAAGTTGAGATGTTCAAAAAGTGTACGCAGTTGTGGTGCGAAGCACATTTCCAAGTCAACATGTTGGAAACACGTAGAGACACCACATGCTCGGACCATTTTTGAAGGTTCAGATGTGCTTTTGCGTGGCAGGTGCAAGGGATTCTGCACTTCGCCAAAGTGAGCAAAACGTGATGGTTTTGTAGCAATTCCAAAAACGATGGCAGGCGTGGGACATTTGCAGATCCTCTGCAAAGATGCATTTCGCGTGGCAGGCGCAGTACAAGAGACATGTTCATCAGAGATGTTAGGAGGTCAGGGTGCTGATTTCGTGAGAGAGGTTGCATTTTGGAGCATCAGATCTTCAGGTTTGCTAAGATGATTTTGCGTGACAGGTGCAGCACTTCGTATGACCTGCTACCACTTTTTCGTCGCAGGCGCAGCACTTTAGGCAGATGGAGTGGGAAATCGCAAAACGCATTGATACGAGGCCGTACGAGGCCGTCAGCTCTGCACCAAACTTTCCATTTTTGATGTTGTCAAGTTCAAAATTGAGGAAGTCTCGCAGAATAGCTTCGTTTTCAAACTTGCAGATAGATAGATAGATAGATGGATAGATGGATAGATGGATAGATGGATAGATGGATAGATGGATAGAGAGAGAGAGATAGAGAGATAGAGAGATAGAGAGATAGAGAGATATAGAGAGATAGAGAGATAGAGAGATAGAGAGATAGAGAGATAGATAGATAGATAGATAAATAGATAGATAGATAGAGATAGGGATAGAGATAGGGATAGAGATAGAGATAGGGATAGAGATAGAGATAGGGATAGAGATAGAGATAGGGATAGAGATAGAGATAGAGATTGGGATAGAGATAGAGATAGAGATAGATATAGAGGTAGCTATACACATAGATAGAGATAGATAGAGATAGGTATAGAAAGATAGATAGCTAGATAGATAGATAGATAAATAAATAGATCGATAGATAGATAGATAGATAAATAAATAGATCGATAGATAGATAGATTGAGATAGAGAGATAGATAGACAGACAGACAGAAAAACAAATAGATAAACAAATATGTAGATAGACAGATAGATAGACAACTGCAACTGGACTACACCACACTACAACTACAACTTCAACCACTACAACTACAACTTCAACTACGTTCAACTACACTTCAGCTACAAGAACTACAGCTACAACCACAACTACAACTACAACTACCCTACAACTACAACTCCTACAACTACAACTCCTACAACTACAACTACAACTATTGCAACTACTACAATTGCTACAATTGAGACAATTACAACTTCAACTACGCTTCAACTACAACTCCTACAACTACAACTACTGCACTACACCACACTACATCCAGGAGTTGTGAGTGAGGTGACCACTGCAACCATTGCAACCACTCCAAAAAGCACAACTCCAACCACCTTTCGGTCCATCAGTGGATTCGCTCTGCCATCCATGCATCACAACAACTCACCTCTCCTATAGCTAAAGCGTCCTATCCTTGAAACTTCCGCCACCGCCTTGTGCGGTACGACTGGTATTTTCAGACTCGAAATTGGAAAAGATCTCCTCCAGCGTTGTGGCGGCTGCACCGACAGGCTACGCTGCCTTGGTGGTGGAAACCCACAAGCAGCAAGGCCTTTGGCTGGGTAGAGTGAAATGTCCTAGGAAATGGTGATTTCAGGGTTTGCTGCTGTGTTTGATGGAGATTTAACATTCAACACGGTATAGGAAAATGAATTGGAATGTCATGGAATAACATAACCAAGGAACTCAACAAAACTTGCTTGGAAAATGTGCAGCAAAAATTCTGCGCTATGGCTGTCAGTCATTCATCTGTGAAGACCTTGCTGCACCGGCCAGTGGCTGTTTTCGGAGAACTAAGAACCAAGCTGCCCTTGTTGACACCTCGGTGGCTGGTGCTACCAGGCAACACGCAGAGACACAATCCAATACTCCGATTCAAAACCTAGTCGGCAAACACTTATCAACCAATATTTATTCATCAAAATCCATACTCGACTTTCAACAATCAACCAATATGGATTAGTGATCCCCCATAGTAAGTTGATGAATGATCATAATTGATCACAATAACCAATAATAGTGGCTAATATCATTTAATATCTATCATTAATGATCATAATATCCAATAACCATAGTAAGTTGACTAATGATTAATGATCATATTCATTATCAACCACTTTCCTGAGCCGCCCAGGCGGTGTCGAGGCCCGCCCGGGCCTTCCGGAGGAGCGGGGCTCGAAGCGCCTCAAACTCCACCAGGAAAACATCACAAAAAAAGGCCAGAAACTGGAGGAAAACCTTGGAAAAATTTGGAAAACCTTGGAAAATGGATGGAAAATTGGGAAAACCTTGGAAAATGGATGGAAAATTGGGAAAACCTTGGAAAATGGATGGAAAATTGGGAGGTTCTTGAATTTGTTCTCCTGAATTGTGCAGCTTCAACTCAGTGATGAACCAGGGCGGTGGAGGGGATGCACACACCAACTGTGGTGGTGGCATGCTGCCAGCACGTCCTCGAAACTGTTGGACTGGAGTCTCCACCCCTTCAACCTCAGGTGATATTTCGTGCCGCCACAGCTTGAGTTGGTGCCAGAACCGCCAAAAAGAGAGTGGGGAATCATCTTCTTTGGTAATATTAGGTACTAGTATTGTCAATATACCACCACAACATATTATGAAAAACTAGTTCTGAAAATGCATGTAACTGTGGCCGTCTAAGCCATCAGCCGGTCGGCCCGCCGCTCGTCTTGGCGTTGCGACATAGCGCTGAATCACCACTGGGGAGACCCTGGCCAAGCTTGGGTAAACACCAACTAACCTCACCAAAGCTTCGGAATTGTCTAGGAACTTTCAAGATATCTTAAATTTCTCCAGAATTTGACATGATTTGATTCACTGCTTCTTTGCTGTCCCACAACCATCATAGACCGGACACTAGCCTCGGTGGCGTCATACAACGCCTTGCGACACAGGGTGTACCTGGCAGCACACCGAGACGGCTTGATCTAAAATCTAAAAGAATTTTGTTGCTGATGTGACAAGAATTGCGATGTTCCCATGACACTGCTTTCGACTTGACTATGCAGAAGGTATCTGGAAACAGGATGAAACAGGTATAGATTTTGCACGGAGCCCATCCAGGTACCAGCAGCAGGAGGAGTGGAGACCGCTGGCCCTTTGCGATGCGAAACGTCAAGCTCCTGCCCCCAGCCAGGAGGCCCCAGTGCTAAGTGAAACTTTGAATTGTGGCATCATAGATCCCTCCTCATCGTCCAAAGATCTCCGGGGAGCTGCCTGACTGTTGTAATCAAAAGAAAGGGTTCATCACAGAAGCTCAAAGATCTGTAGCTAAAGAATCTGGAACAGAAACATATGCTTCTCCATGCTTTTACATTGGCATCGTTCCACATCCGAGCCATAGATGTGCTGTACCAGTTTCACGTCCATGTCTTGCTGTCCCAATCAGAAAATCGAGGTTGCGGCCACAGGTGACTGGAGCGGCCGACTCGGACCTCGCTGACCGAACTGGCTATTTCAGCTATTTCCAATATATTCCAACACCCCCAAACCTTGGATGGACTAGACTAGTAACTCAGGAAAAATGGCCAAAGTCTGAAAGTGAAGGGTCTTAAGTATTGTCAAGGGCTATACCCACGGAGCCCTGCACTTTCCCCCATGAAACATATGAAACCCTTCGCTGCCTGGTGAGCAATTCCTGGGACTGGGTCCAGGTGGAGTCACTGCCTGCCATTCATCTCACATCAAATGCGGGATTCAAAATGCTGATCATCAAAGCGTTTGTGGTACTGTTTCACTCCGCATGCTAGCTTTATGGAGTGCCTCTACTTTCTACTTGACCAGGCAAATTCATGACTTGACGGTGACCCCATCCGATTCCACCTGGGGTCGTGGTGAGAAGGCCGGGGTGACGGGCAACGTCGGCAGCTCGGCGACCTTCAAAGTCTGGGCTGAATTCCCCGCTTCCGGTCGAACGCTGACAGGAGGACCGAGTTTCCGACCAGGTGTTGCTCTGGCTTGGGGCCCTGCTCAACTATCAAAAAATATCAAAAAGCATCGAAAAATATCCCAAAAGTTCCAAAAGTGGAGGTCTTAGCAAAGTGATGGCTCCTCCAACTGCTGCATGGGGCTCACAGGGCTCACTGGCTCGGGCGCGCGGCTGCTGGGCCTTGGGCCGTGCATCAGAAGCGGAGTCGACTTCTTGCTAGCAAGTTAAAAAGGTTAGTATGCTCAACCAAAGAATCTTTAGGTTTGCTTCTGCTTCAAATAGGCTTTAAGTCAGGCTGGATGGAATGAGCTCCGACAAAAAACTATGCACATTCGTTGCCGAAAAAGCGGTCACTGAAACACATCAGGCAAAGTGTCTTGGCTTTGAAACATCATCCCAACTCTATGGGCTCTTGTATTTTGAGCTCGCGACGTTCCTGTCTCTACAGCTGGTGCACTTCCCTGTCAGGTCACTGCAGTTCCTGGATGCCTCACCCAAGCCCAAGAAACCGACCTCTTTGCCAAGAGCGCAACGGCGCAGCTTGTCTTGCAAAGCCGCCTTCGACTCCAGCTGTATTGAGAAAAACACTTGAACTTGAACCCACTATACACAAGGGGGTTGATCGGTTTGATCATCTTTCAGGTTTAGCCATCTGGGACTCGGACAATCTGCGCATCCTTGACTCCCAGCAACGCGTTCAAGCGCGCCGTTTCTGTGGAGACTTCCTGTGCCGTGATGGGAAATAGGAATGTCGCAGCAGCAACTAGCGGGGTCTGCAAGTTATATACATATGTTCCTCTCTGTTATCAAGAAATTGTCAGTCTCCAAGCCTCCAGTGAAATTCTTTGCTGCGATCTAGTTGTCAAGCAAGACCTCATCGATGAAATAGAAGCACTCAACTGAAGCCAAATGAAAAATCCTGCAAATGTCAAACATCCATTTGGACAGCTGTGCTTCCATTCTAGACTGACAGGCAGTGAAACTGGTGAATTTCAAACACATCTTTGGCCAATGTCTGGTTTCTTTTTTGGAACAAACCCGAAACTTTGGCTCGTGCGGAAATGAAGGTATGGCTTCCTCGGCCACATCTGCATCTACGTCTTCCTCAAGTCAAAGAACTGCAGTCGCTCCATCTAGACGGGTCACTGCCCCACACGTCCTTAATTACGATAAATGCATCTGTCCCAACTAGCCAAGATCCACCCCAACATCATTCCTTTCCCCCTTCAAGAAACCATCTCTATCCTTTTGGGTGGTATCTTGTATCCCCAAATTTCGGGGGACACAACGGTCGACCTCGCCTGCAGGTCATCATCCATCACGGCATACCTGGCGGACAAGTTCTGTCGGATTTCCTCAATCGCCTCCGACTCAGCAGCCCGAGGGGTCCTGTCGAAGTGGCAGGTGGGTTGGGGGATGAATCCAAAGAGGCAAGAAGAAAAGAATGCCTCAGATTTTCAGAGCTGCAATTGACTCAATTCAGGTTTATTTGATGAATCTTAACATCTAACCAAAACAAGATGTCCTTCCAGTGACGTGACTGGTGCTGGATGGGCAGGATCTTGGACTCCTCCCTTCGAGCGGTCCATCCACAGGGCTAGGAGCCGCTTCCAGGGCAGTGGAGAGCTGCGAGGATTTCTCGGGCTCTTTGCATCTCAGCGAATGTCGCCCATTCTCCTTGGATTGGCCCAGGGGAACAAAGCAGAAATGGGGCTTTTCCCCGAAATGGATGGTTTATTTGCTGGAAAATCCATCAATGGATGATTTAGGGGTCCCATTTTAGGAAACCTCCAAATGGACATCAACAAAAACAATCCCAGTGGTTTCCCCCACATGCTGATCCATGTCTCCGAGTCCAACTTGATCTTGGCCTTGCTGTTTGGATGTTCATAACACCAGGACAGCTGTTTGGCAGTGGTCGACAACGCCAGTTTTCCGTCCACGAAGACTTTCTTCTTTCCGGAAAAACGGCTGTGCTCCAGTTCCACCTGGAGGCCACTGGTGTCACATCTGTGATCTTGATGGATCTTGATATCGCGTTTTGTTTTGCCAACAGAGATCAGATATTATATATATATATAATTGTGTAATTGTATATATATATATCATGCATATTATCCCAAAATGAAATCCAGTTATCAACATCACCGCTTTATACACTGACAATTTGGGGGTGCTGATTTCCTGCCTTCAACTCTGCTGCTTCCAAGAAGAAGGTCCAAATATGTCGCAACTTTGAGGATTTCATGTGACGACCTATATGCTCAACCTCGTAGAGCGGCGAACGCATACCTCAGACGCTGTGTCAAATTTGGGTTCCACCATAGATTGCCATAGATCATAGGGGTACCCAAGGGGTATCTATCCATGTGCCCCAGGGCCATCCTTCAGCGGAGAGGCTGTTGGAAAAGCTTGTGACCTCGCTGCAGCTCAGCGGTGCATCCTTCAATTGTAGATGTGCGCAGTCACTGATCGCGGCAATGCGAGATGACATGTCTAAAAACTAGTAAAAACTCCCATCAAACCTGTGTTCTTGGCCTAAACCAACAGGATTGACTACAGTGGAAGAGCACCAATCTCAGACTCCAGCATCAGGGTCCAAAGCCTGCGGAAGTGCCAGTCATCTCAATGATACTCCAAGGCAGATTGCGCAAGGTCTGGTATGGATTGATGAGACTGCTTCATAAAGAGTTCAAATGTCCAAACCGAATTCACCCGGACCCGCTTCTCTTTTCCACAGCTTTAAAATGCTGCTGTAGCTGCGAAACCGTCAAGTTGCTGAGTTGATTTGCCACTGTGTCGAGCTTGCGCAAGAATGCGCGGTGTTTCTCAAAAAGAATCGCTGCAAACTGAAAAGACAACTTCAATCAAATCAGTACACTCAGGATCAATGGTCAATCATCTTGAATGCTCACATACTTGAGTTCTCACCTGCCTATCTGAACAGTTTTTCCACCTTGATATGACTGAAAAGGAAACTTGGACCAGACAAGGTACAAATGCTTTGAGGAAACACCCATCAACCGATATACTGGCAAATGAGATGCAACACAGCTGCCCGAGCAATCGAGCAATGGTGCACCCCATTTTCGAGACGAGCTAGTTGCGGATCATGATCCGCCATCAGCTATCATAGGTAGCGATGACTGGAAAGAATGTGTACTCCTGAACAGGGGGTCGTTCGTAGCCCAGAAACCGTGGGCTTGTTTTTATGACTCAAAACCTGCACAAGGCATCACCCCAAACTCCAAAACCATCAAATACCGAAGAAAAAAACCACCAGGAACTCGCCCTATGCCCCGTCTTGATTCCCATACCCGTCCTGACCAGGCTCAAGCTCAAAAATGAAGCCACTGTTCGCACTAACCCTCCGACCCGCCAGTTTTTCTAGAGGGGTGTAGAAGGCAAACCTTTCAACTCCGGCGTCCTCAGGCAGTCACCAGTCATGCTCTTCATGGGATCCCCATCTACGGCTCAAACTTGACCAATGGATCCACAAATGTGTTTTCTGTTCCCGTTAAACATTCCACCAATAGATGGCCCGTCATCATTCCATCATCCCCAACTCTCTCCTTGTGCGATATCCCAATGATTGTTGGTTTTCTTCGTTATCAATTTTAGTGATTTTTTACCATCCATCCAACCCCCTCTCTATGTTTTCTTACTTAAGCTCCATCAAGTGCCAATTTTCACAACCCCTCCATCCTACTCTTAGATCATGAAAAATATCCCATATGATCCCCATCATTGGATACATTCATGCATAATAGTTGTATAATATTATATTTACATGTATATATACTATATATTACATATCCGCCGACCCCGGCCTTGGCCAAGGCAGGGGCGGCGCCTGGGACCACCGCAGGTGTGGAACTTCTCCTTCTTCGCTTTCCAAGGTCAAACCCATCTCGCAGCCAGCAAGCTGCCCCAAGGCCACATCTCGTAAACTTTTTCCTGGCATGCTTCGTTCTCCAGTTAAGAGTTCCAGGCATTTGGACATGAAAATTACATGCTTTGGGCAAGTAAGTTTTCCTCCGGAAGGTTTTGTCTGAAGGTTTTGTCTTTCAAGGCTCCTTCTTCGCTTTCCAAGGTCAAACCCATCTCGCAGCCAGCCAGCCGGCGCAAGGCCACATCGCGTAAACATTTTCCTGGCAAGCTTCGTCCTCCAGTTAAGACTTCCAGGCATTTGGACATGAAAATTACATGCTTCGTCCTCCAGTTAAGACTTCCAGGCATTTGGACATGAAAAGTACATGCTTTGGGCAAGTAAGTTTTCCTCCGGAAGGTTTTGTCTGAAGGTTTTGTCTTTCAAGGCTCCTTCTTCGCTTTCCAGGGTCAAACCCATCTCGCAGCCAGCCAGCCGGCGCAAGGCCACATCGCATAAACATTTTCCTGGCATGCTTCGTCCTCCAGTTAAGACTTCCAAGCATTTGGACATGAAAATTACATGCTTCGTCCTCCAGTTAAGACTTCCAGGCATTTGGACATGAAAATTACATGCTTTGGGCAAGTAAGTTTTCCTCCGGAAGGTTTTGTCTGAAGGTTTTGTCTTTCAAGGCTCCTTCTTCGCTTTCCAAGGTCAAACCCATCTCGCAGCCAGCCAGGCATGAACAGGCACCCCCCAAGGCCACACATCAATGGCTTTCTGTAAACAATTCACTGAATTTGCGCAGCCTGCCAAGGCCCCCCCCAAGGCCACAGTCAATGGGTTCTTATGGGCCGCTTAAACATTCCCTTGGCATGCTTCATCCTGCAGCCAACAGGCACCCCAAGGCCACACATCAATGGCTTCTTATGGGCCGCTTAAACAATCCCTTGGCATGCTTCATCCTGCAGCCAACAGGCATCCCAAGGCCACACATCAATGGCTTCTTATGGGCGTCCAAGCCTGCCGTTTGCCAGCCCTTAGACCCTTAAAACCCTCCAAACCCTCCAAACGCTTCAAACCCTTAAAACCCTTAAAACGCTGACTTGGCATGCTTCATCCTGCAGCCAACAGCCACCCCGAGGCCACACATCAATGGCTTCTTATGGGCCGCTGAAACAATCCCTTGGCATGCTTCATCCTGCAGCCAACAGGCACCCCAAGGCCACACATCAATGGCTTCTTACGGGCCGCTTCAACGCGTCCAAGCCTGCCGTTTGCCAGCCCTTAAACCCTTAAAACCCTCCAAACCCTTAAAAACCTTAAAACCCTTAAAACGCTTACTTGGCATG